TTCTACATTGTGACCGAAAACTTGCAAATTTTGATCTATAGGAGAGGAAATTGAAATTTCAAAGTTATTTTCAGAATTTGTGCATGCTCGTGTAGATGATTGTACAAAGTATTTTTGCTCGCAACAGGGCGGAAAGGAGGAACACGGTAGGCATCGGCACAGAGAACGCATGATCCCTACGTTTGCTGGGAACACGGTGGGTGGATCGATGTGGACATTGGACTACATTAAGGTGCGAAGTGGGTGCAGCTGCGAGGTCATGCCGAAACCGAAAAAGAAGAAGAAATACAAGAAGAGCAAGCCAGCAAGGGACCATGACTTGGATTCGGAGACCTGAGATCTGTACAACCGTAGAATCAGGGCAGATTCCATCTACCTCCGTGCACGCGATTCCACCGATGAGAGAAGCATTGTCTCGAGCAACGAACAATATCCGTCGAAACTTTACCATCCGATCGAATCACGAAACGCGTTCCAAACCGATGCAATATTTGTACAAATTGTAACGCAGCGAACGCACGTGTTCTTTCTTTTCTCGGATTGTACAGGATCAAAATGTTACCAATCGAAGAGTCAAATATTAAGAGTTAAAAATACCTCGATGGAAGCTTGTATCGTTTGTACCAGTGGATGATCGATGTGGATCGTGATTATTTTAGAACGATTCTATTATTGTATTTATCGCGTGATAAGGTATTAATACATTAAGATTCTATAGAGGAGGTTCCGTGAAACTGTATTCCGCTTGTTTTTGATAAGAGATTGATATTTTTAGATGACGATGAAAATAAATGTAGTAGTACAACGATGTCAGTAGAATCTCCTTCGAGTAGGTACAGTAATGGACAGACTGATATTACGATTCAAAGAGCTAAACGTGTGAAACGTTTGATATCTGCGTTTTCTAAATTTCGTCGTTCTATTGTCAGGAAAGTAATCGTATGCTAAAAAGGCACCGTATATTTTCTCGTATCAATAGCAGATGAACGTCTCGACCAGATTTGTATTTGACGTTAGAGAACACTCGCGGGTCTCAGTTACATCTATTTTTAAATTACACAGAAAAACTAGGTTTTATGATATTTATAGATTTTATCAGATAATATCATTGTGTTTCATAGATCTGCATATTACGATTAACGAGAACCAAACAGAAATCTATTTAAATTTATTTAAGATATTAAAGTTCTGTTATGTCATTAGGTCTGTTTTATCTTTTAAAGCACTGATTAGAAGAATTAGAGGATGCGATGGACGAAGCGTTAGTTGTAACCATGACAATTATTAATAAATCTGAATGCGATAAGGCGGAAAGAATAGAAATTCGTTGTGTAATCTAAAATATAAAATACAACAGTAGAGTTTATTTTATATGTATAAATATAATGATACGTAAGTACTTTTATACGAGAATAATTTTTAAACATGCATATGGATAAAAGTGTACATTAACTTAACGCATAAGTTATTGATATAAAGCTGCCATTATTTTAATAGTACTTCATTGATTTATCTGTCGCTTTGTACATATAGAAAAGTACACGAATATCAACATGTTTTTATGCGTTATATTAATGTAATATGTAAATTATAAAATAATAAAATAATTCTTAGATTTAGAATTAAAAACGTTCGGAAGTGTTGTACTTAAGTAGATGAAGTTGTATTAGTTAGATTAAGTAATGAAGCGAATTATAATACCAGTTTTTCAATTTAACATATTTATGAATGTACCATAGTAAATCACATTAGCGCAGGAACCTTTCCGATAAGTATATTCCCTTTTTTTCTACCGCTGTAATTGTATTAATATTCTAACAAGTGGTTTCAACTTGATAACACTCATGTATTATAATCAAGCAGATTAGGTTTACAGATTTATTTTCTGTACTGCCATGTATACACTGTACATAAATAATATTAATACAATTGTTATAAAACGTATTCGTTATTTCTTTTCCCGCGCTGAATGTACTAATTGATTTGTATTTCTATTTCATAAGTATTTCTTTTTTTTGTACTACAAAGCTTTTAATTGATCGATATGTTAAACATGCTTTTGACATATTGCCAAGATATTGCAAGATATCAGTGTGTAACTAGTGAATTTATTATATTTTGAACTATAATAAATATAACTATGAAATAATTGCTCTTGTATTTCTAATCATGTCTCTTTCGCGCATAATACGCATAATACAAATTAATCGTGTGAAAACATACATTTTATTATACTTCCCTCAATTAATATAAAAAGGAATATAGTGAAAAAGCTTAAGATTTAATTAATCCATAATAGTCTATAATTTAAATTCCTTTACGAACACTATTGCTCTCCTTGTCTACGAATAAGTCACATGCTGCCATATATCGGGTACATTTAGAACTATCTAGTGAGAAACGTAATGTACTGCCATCTGCCGAATTTTTCCAATTTGCCCTTTTAGTTTCAACATCGACTAACTTGCAGTGCAATGTCCATTCATATACCTCGTCGGTGGTTTCAATAGAAAATGAAAGAGGTTTATATAGCAATACTATCTGCAAACAAGGAGTGCATTACTGTGGAACAAGGACAGATATCGATTAGTTCAATCGTTTCATTGTTATGCGGCGCTAGTGTCTACGAATCGAGCAAAACTTCATTTGCATAAAAAGCTCATTAAGAAAATTTATGAATTTTTGCAATTATATTTTTGTTTTCAGGCTCTAATCTTTCTTCTTGTATTTTATTCGATCTTTAAAATATTAGTATAAAATTCCTACTCGATAGATCGGAGCATTGTGTTGGATAGATAAGAAAAGCAACAACATGCGACAATGACAGAAATAATATTTAGTTTCATTGTGCGACCGCTACGCGGCGCTAGCATTTCAGTGTCCATAAATTGATCAAATTTTCATTAGTAAAAAAAAAAAAAAAACTAATTTAACGGTGTAAATTTTTAAACTTTTCCAGTTTTTCCCTCATAATTAGCTTTGCTTCTGTTAGACTCTATTTTGCCTATAAAATAAACGTATAAAAAAAATCACAAATTCTACTAATTGGATCGAACAATTTTACATCGGAATTATAAAAGATGTAATAAAGTTTTTGTAATAATATTATGTTTCCACGCGATTGATTTGCAAGTATATTTCGAATACTATATATTTCAAACGTATTCCTGGTCAAATTTGGACGATCGTCTATGCGTGAATATTCCGTCGTGTTAGCTACAGTATAGTCTATGGCAAACAGAATTTACTTCAAAACTTGTTTCTATTCAAGTGCCATTCACGAAAGCGCATGTATATAGTTGCTGCGAGTTGCACATGCCAGATTGAATAGGTAAAAAAATTTTACTTTTATACAATGACACTTCTGTCTTTTGTCAATTTCCTCTAATGTTGTCATGTTCAATCTTTCAATGTTTGTTCATACAGAGTGTTAAATGAACATAACAAGACGAATGAACTGATATAAACGATCGTGCCGTCTTTATTGACACGATTCGTAACAATTCAATGAAACGGACCCGTACATCAAAAAATAATCAGTTTCATTGCGTAAAAATGTCCTCGGAATCTTCCTTGAGCGATGTGCCAACTGTCGTGTCAAGATTGCACAATTTACGTTTAGGCCAAGAAGACGGTGATGGTGAACCTCAACAAAATGTAAATCTCGTCACGTCTGGCGATTCTTCCCAAGAATCTGTACGAAATACTCAACCTATTGGCAATGTTATCCTTTCACGTGCCAGGCGTGCGCTTAATTTCATTTGCGATGAAGATCAACCAACTTCATCGACAGCAAGAGTTGGAGAATCCTCGTCTTCGAATGTTGATAAGTAAATACTTTGATGATTCTTCTACAGCTAGTTCATAATTTCCATATGAATTAAATTACGATGTTTCTCTGAACAACATTTCCATAATTCTGTTCACGTTAATTTTTTAGTAGGCCTCCGACAAATGTAGCAAATACGTTGCATTTGGAAGGAAGATCTCAAGATACAGCTACCTTGGAGAACACATCTACGAATGGTCAAGCAACAGTAGCTTACAATTGGCAGGGTACAAAAGCAACAATGCGTGAGAGAATTGTTTTTCTGTTCAATAATGAAATATTGTCGGATGTAAGCTTTATAGTAGGAAGGGGAGCTCAAAAGCAGCGTATACCAGCCCATAAACTAGTCTTATCCTCTGGAAGTGCCGTTTTCGATGCAATGTTTAATGGAACACTTGCGACAGCTTCTTCAGAAATAGAAGTACCTGATGTAGAACCTGCTGCTTTCTTGGCAGTGCTTCTTTTTTTATATACAGATGAAATACAGATAGATCCTGAAACTGTGATGACTACGTTATATACCGCTAAGAAATATGCAGTGTCTGCTTTAGAGAAGCACTGCGTGGATTATTTGAAAAACAATTTAACCAGTGATAATGCATTCTTGCTTTTAACTCAAGCTCGACTTTTTGACGAGCCACAATTAGCTGCGGTATGTTTAGATACTATTGATAGATTTACTACGGAAGCTTTAAATGCAGATGGATTTACAGATATTGATATTGATACGCTAAAAATTGTTTTGGAAAGAGATACTCTTCGTGTTAGAGAATCTAAGATATTCCAAGCAGTTTTAAGGTATAGGAATATGACATACATAAACTATGATACTTAATATATATGTATATATGTATATTTATTTGTTATTTTGTACAGATGGTCAGAAGCAGAATGCATAAGACATCGTCTGCCAGTTACACCCGAAAATCAGCGATTTGTTTTAGGAAGTGCTTTCTCATTAATTCGTTTCCCTTTAATGTCAAAGGAAGAATTTACCGCTGGCCCAGCACAATCTGGACTTCTTAATTATTCAGAGGTTAGCATTAATTATAATATTTACTTCATATGTTTGTGAAATTATTTATTCAAAGATTGTGTGTTTTAGGTTCTTTCTTTATTTTCATATTTTATATTAAATCCCAAACCAGTGGTAGGATTTCAAACAATGCCACGCTGTTGTATGACTGGTAAAGAGCAAACTGTATGCAGATTTCAACATACTAAAAGTAGATGGGGATATCACGGGACAAGTGACCGTATAAGGTGATTTTTAGGATAAAATGTAATGCGAACTTCATAATTATAATATTTCATATAATTTAATCCATCTTTTCCATTTTTTTAGATTTAGCGTTGATAGACGCATATTTCTTATTGGCTATGGTGTCTATGGTAGCATGCATGGTCCGGCGATATACGAAGTATTAATAGAATTAATACATACTGCTTCTGGAAAAGTGATTGCTACAAATTCAATAAGTTTTAGTTGCGATGGTTCAAAATATACTTATCGTTTAATGTTTAAAGAATTAGCAGAAATTTTACCAAATACGATTTATACTGCATCAGCAACATTTAAGGTCCGTATATGTCAGTTTATTATCTTCGACTTATTGTTAGATTGATCGTCATTGCAATTATAGGGTCCTTATTCTCATTTTGGAACGAAGGGTTTAAAAACAATCACGGTGGATAGTGATTCCGGGAATGGAAAAGTTAAGTTTGAATTTAGTACTGAAACTGGAGATAATAATGGAACCTCTACTGATGAAGGACAAATTCCTGAGCTTATATTTTATACTTAATAACTCATGTACATAATAACGACATTCCTTTTTATCAGCTTTATTGTTTTTCAATTCTTATTACATTAAATTGCGTTATATAACAAATGTTATATGTCAATTTCTTTGTCAATTATGTATTTTATTACAATTGAGTGCAGTGTTTTTAATAATGAGCATATTTTCTAAGCTTTGTTTCTACTGCAAATAGAAAGATGTTTTATATCTAATTGTGAATATTGAAAGTGACATTTGTAGATTTTAAAAGGGCCTTATTGGGAGAAGAGACTGATTCGTGCCACTGATGTAAAATTAAAGTTAAAGTAAATGACTTATTTTTAATTAATTATCTTAATGGTTAATTTCTTCAAAATGTAAGTTTGAAGAAGATAGCCATACATTGAGTAAGTTACAAATATTAATATATTTATGACTAAGGACAATCTATTTTTCTATTCAAACACTTCAAACAATATGTACATGAGTGGTATATTTATACATACAATAGTAAAGCTTTGCATAAAGGAATAGATGGATTCTTATTGTCATTGTTTAAGAAATTTTTCTGTTTAGCAATTCTTTTCTTGAGAAATATATAAAATAATATAAAGAAACTCAGTACTCAAAATTGTTAATATTCTGCATGAAGAAACAGTGTAATACAGTTTAAAGTTTAACAAATATTTTTTAGAAAAATTATTAATAAAAACATATATAACTTTGGTAGAAAGTTATATGTATATATATATGTATGTATGTATGTATGTATATATGTATGTATGTATGTATGTATATATACATACATACATACATATAATAATAATTAAATAGAAGCAATATATCGTTATTTTTTTAGTATTACTTGAGTTTAGGTGTTGTAAACGTAATACTATGGAAGATAAACGCATTTTTTTGTTACAATACTAGATAATGGATTTTTCTAGCTTGTTCTTTATAAATAATTAAGTGCGCAAACTAGTCAAATATAATTTATTTATATTTGCACAATAAACGAAGTATATTTGTCGACGCGATATTTTTGTCGATGGCATGCAACTAATTATTTATACAAATTAAGATGCACATATTATCACGAAAAAAATAAATTATTTATTCAATAAAAAGTTTCTTGCATTATTTCTTCCTTCATTTTGAAATCCTTTTTTGAAATTATATTTCTATTATCTTATGTACAATTTTAATCAAGGAAACACAATTTATAATAATTTGTTATATATTTTTCTCAAATAGAAGATTAAAAATTCAATTAGTAGTACATTTATATTTGTATATATTATATATACATTTTAAGTATGTGGTAATTAAAATATTACTTGTTTAGTTATATAATCTTTTGTTTTTCATGTATGTATGTAAAATTAACATGGCAACTTTATCTAATACGCGCAAGTCTGTCACTGTCATAGCGTTTCACACAACGATGGAGTATTAAAAAATGGTAGTAAGTGATTTGTAGTACCGATTAATAATTTTGCGAAACCGCCTCAAAATTAATTCACTGTTAACTATCTTAATTCTGTATCTATTATGTGAAATTGTAAATCACTATTAGATTTTATTAAATAACGATACGTGTTACAATAAAGTTTAAAACATTGGTAATTGGAGATTTATTGCTATATATCATAACCTAAAATTTGTATCATTTACGTGACATATTTACAACCGGGAAAGAAATATTGTAGTGGTCATTTATTAATTTTTTTTAATACAGTGAAAAGATGCTCGAATGATAATAGTATGTGTTGACGTTATGAAAAAAAAGATATTTGACAAGGCTGTACATATTTTATCCTTATGGCTAAGGGAAAACTGAGAGGTTCTGATTCAAACAATAAGGTATGTTTAAAAGAATTTAATTTCGATATAAGTATTCACCAAGCTAATTTACTCTCTATAACAAATAGTTAACAACTTCAAATGCAACTTTCAAAAATGGGGAGACATATACATCAGAGTTTGAAATTAATGAAATACCACCTAGTGCCCGCACATTGCTTACAAAGGGTTATATACAAGATGAAATTAATTCTTACTCAGGTAAATTTTGATTAAAATTTCTTATCTAATATAGTAATTGCATTTGTGTAATAAATATAATAAGTTTGCATTTGTGTAATAAATATCTATATTGCAATATGGTAACTTTTAGGTGCTACTGTTTCAACACGTGGACGTTTTATGACAGAACAAGAGAAATTACGTTGTCCTAATGAAAGGCCTTTGTATCTTTATATACAAGGGCATGCAAAACATAATGTAGATTGTATGTTGCATTTTTTTTTTGTTTTTTTTTGTAAATTGTTCATAATTTAAGAGTATTTCATTTTTAGCTGCTATACAAAAAATTAATGAAATTATTAAAACAGAGCATCAAAGTTCTTTGAACAGGCCAAGTAGATTTACTAATGCACCGCCACCTCTTATGAGTTTACATTCCGGAGTTACATCAGTGGTATATGCTACTTCTATATAATGTATATTGAATGCATGCATGTATGTATATGATCTAAATTTTTCGTTATCATTATTTTAATTATTTTTGCAGGAAAAGATTTGTGTTGGGATAGAAAATGCTCCAGAAGGATTTGATTTAAGAGGTAGAATTATAGGTGCAGGTGGAGCAAATCTATTATACATTAGGGGTGAAACAGGTGCAAATATAACTTTAAGAGGTAGAGGGTCACAATTCATTGATCCTGTTTTAGGCACTGAATCTCCAGAACCATTGCATTTGTATATAGAGTAAGGTTTCTATGTTCTTTATATAATAATACTGAAATGATGAATTATATTATAATTTTTGTTTGTATAGGCATCCAAAGCCAGAAGCATTACAAAATGCAAAACAATTAGCAATTAATTTAATTCAAACAATGCAATCGGAATTACAATCATATATACAACAACAACCACCACCAGTGCAATCACAGCAAGTTATAGAACAGTCACAAATGCCACAAAGTATGAATAATTATTATATTTTATAAATATTAAATACAATTATACATTTTCATTTATCACTTTTATTTTTTTTAGCACAATTTCAAACCATGAATATTGGTACTTTGGGACAGCCTAATGTAGTTACTATACAACATCAAGGTAGAGTATATACATCAACAGTGGCTATTAGAAATTCTGTCTGTAACTGTTACAAACCATTTTTAACAGATATTATACAACACCCTCAAAGTAATGTAGTAACGTTGCCAGCAACTATTCTCACTGCTACAGTAACTGGTGCACCAGGCTCTGGCATAACAGTTCCTCCACCTGGAGTACACATTCCACCCCATTCTGGACCATTGGTACCACCACCACAAGCACAGGTAATGTATAAATTTATAGATTTATCTAATAACTACTAAACGTAATATTTTTCTCTCTTTTTTAAGGAAATACAAACATTTATGCCTCCTCCACCGGTTGGCCAAGTTCAATTAATTGGTCCTCCATCAACAGTAAGCCAAGTGCAATATCAAATTCATCCTGGACAACCACTACAAATTCAAGGGATTCAACCTGGATCGCAATCATCACCACAACCTGTTGCCCAAATGTATGTTATGAGTCAGCCACCACCACAGAGTCCAGCTCAACAAAATTTTATTACAAGTAGTAGTGCGCCAGTTAGTGGTGCGGTTTCTTATGTTTATACACAACCAAATGTACAAAGGCCATCTACACCGCCACAAGGAATAATCGAAGCTGTGAACGTGAATTTACAACAGCCACCTCCGACAACTCCAATTAACATAACTCAACAACCACCTCCACCATTATTGCATCTTCATTTTCCACCGCCAAACTTTCCTCCGAATCAACCACCACCTCCAGTACCACAAACTTATCAAATACAATATCAGCAAGTGCAAGCACCTGCATCACAATCTCAAACACAGTTTGTGTTACAACCTGGGGAGCATATTGTTCCACCACAGTTGCAGCAAAACCATGAACAATCGCAGCCTGTGGCTCAACATATGTTACCACCACAGTTTGAAGGTCATGCTCCTCAATTTCATTTACAAGTACCTCCTCCGTCTACGCAAACTTTTTTAGTCCCTAATGCTCAATCGCCTCAACATCCTCAACAACATCCTCTTCCTCCTGGAAGTGAGGTTCAACATCAAGAAGGACCAGTGGATCAAGGACCACAACCACAACCGGTACCACCTCCACAAATTGTACCACCACCTGCCCAAATGTCAAATTCTATGAACGTTCTTACCAGTATTCCACCACCAACGCAAGCACCTCCTTCACAAAATGCTCCGTGGCTATACCAAGCACAACAACCGCAACAAATGTTGCAGTCGCAGGGTCAACTACAGGTGACGTTATAGCATTTATATATTTTTATAAATAAAATGTTCATTAATAAGAATGTAAAATTTAATAGGTTCAAATGCCTCCTGCAAATATACCTTTACATAATGTACCTCCACCACAAGTTCAAGCTCAGATACAGTATCATGCGCAGCATATGCAATATCAAAATGGTCATATACCACCTCAAGTACACTATACGGTTCAACCACCACCTCAACAATTTGAGCAAAAGCCTGATTCCCCAGAACAAAAATCTCATGGTATAAAAAGGAGATTTTCAGATGTTGAAACAAATCCGGTTAGTTTTTAGATTTCTGATAAAATGAAATATTTTGTAACTATTATGAACTATTATGTAAAATATTAAAAATTCATATTAAAACTAGGAAGCATCACCTTATCAATGTGGTCCTCTACCTGCTCAGCGTCATGGACCAGGGTAAGTAAAATCATCAAAATTTTTACTTAGTTCTACTAGTTGTAGTTATTCTAATTATACATAAGAAGTTAAAGTTTCTTGCAAAATGCGAGAATATAAAAATTTATTAGGCGAATAAAGCAGGTTTAATGAACCTCAATTATATTTAAATACGTATTTAAATTACAAAATAAACATGTTTATTTATAGTGTCTGATTGATATTAAAGCTGAAAAAGAAATACGTCTAAGTATACGCGTTCAATGTTTGCAATTACATTGTATATTACTACCAACTGTGATGGAATTTCTAATTTTGTGAAAGCTGCTTAATAATTCATTGCTTAGATATGAAAATTATAACTTATATATAGTCATTTTATTTTATATTATAGTAAGCTTAAACACGTGCATTGCAATAAAATTGAATTTTTTTCAGAAACCTGCTTTGATCAAGATGTACCAAACTCAATAGGTAGCAGGAAATTAGTTGTTCCTTACTCAAAAATTTATAATTAAAAAGAAAAAATAAATAAATAAAGATCAAAAAAATGTTTATAATACGGAGTAAAAAATGGATGATATGGAGTAAGAAACATCGATTTATTCTTGCAAGCTATAATTTGGTAATAAAAGTTTATTTATATTCACAATCAAACTATTTTCAAATATCTGTTTCACTTGTAAAAAAGATTATAAAATTAACATAAAAATAGATCGGATAATCAGAAATAATCAGGTTATTTAAAGTAAATGATTGTGAATATAAATAATTTTTTCACAGAATATTATGTTGAGAAAAAAGATTTATGTATTTGTGTATTTCTTTTGGTAAACTTTTTCAGTAAATTTTAAGCATATACTTATATTTTTAAGTAGAATAATAATTCTAATTAGAAAATATAATTACAATCTATAAGTTGGATTTAATTCTAGAATTATAATATTCTGTGCTATTAAGTTATAACACAATTAAGTTCTTTTTACACAAAGTTTGGTATCATTAACTATGACCTGGAGATAGCAGGTTCTTTTTAATATTTCAGAAAAATCCATGGCCGTGCATCAGGTGATATTTGCTTAAGTTTTGAAATGTTTATCTTTACAATCATAGATTGTGAATTAATAATTTGAAACTGAATTGTTTAAGCAGAGAAGGTGATCGGCAGCAGCAAGTCTTACATGGTCCATCACCGACAGCTGCGGGTCTACCTCAGAGAGATCGAAACAAGCTGCTAATGCCACCTCCACATCCAGGTCTGTAACTAAGAGTATTCAAGGTGAAACAGTGCTGGATACCTTTTGAAAATTAACACGAATTTATTACTCTATAAATAATAATAATTAAGTGAAATGTGTTAAATGTATAAATAATATACATGTTTTGTAACGTGAATCTATTTTTAAAATAGATATTTTAATTTTATTATATGAAATAGTCAGACAATAATTTTTATATTTATAACAATTTTGTATTTATATTTTTATTTCAGATGGGTATCTAGCATTGTTTCTTAATACTCTTAGCCTGTAGTACATTATTTATTGTAAATATATTTTTTACTAAACAATACAAATTTCTCCTTATTCTTAATCCATATGTCTTAGCGATTCGCTTTTTCATGTACTCATTCAAACACTTTGCAGATAGACTTCTGGAATTGTCTACGACGTTTATGATACTACAGCGTAGATTGCTTTCCATTTATCTTTATTTGTTATTATTTAGAATTAACAAAACTTTCGCTATATTATATTATATAATTAAAATAGTTAACTTAAGCATCCTAATTTTAATGCTTCTTCATATATTTTTTATTAAAGTATGTATATGTGTTTTCAGATCTCTGTGCAATGAAGTGATTTTGTATTTCAGTGATTACTTTTAACCAGTATTAACTATAATTATTATGATTCGTGTTCTGTTGTTCCGAAATGCTATATTTTAATATGAGTATTTTAAGTTTAACAAGTCAAAATACCAAGGATACGTATATTGAAATCAGATGTCAGATGAAGCTGGACATATAAATACATGGAGTAGCTGCACATTGTTATATTGACGTTAATAATGGTTTACAAATTATTTAATGTAGTTTTTTCTATAAACGTGTACAAAGTTTACAGAATAAGAATGTTGGGATCTGCTAAGTAACTATATGCAATTGATTTAATTATTTATTTTGCAGTGACAATCTGATGGATGATTTTAATCAGAAATTTGGATGACGCAGAAAAATTTTTTAATAATAAGTTTTATTTTGCAGATAATGACTTAAGTAAACAATAGGGATCAAGGAAGCACTATAGTAATTGTAACTTGGTATCACGGATATATGTATTTATTACACATTTCCAGATGCATTTAGTGTCATAATCACTATCTTTTTCTTTGTTAAATGGTGAATGGCGTGAAATATTGTTACTGTGTTCTGTAGAACTTTAAAAAATTCTTAGAATATTAATCATTGTACTGTTAATTTAAGCAAAAAACTAAAAAGTATCAGTAGGAAAATATAATATATTGTATATTGTAACTAATATTTTAAACGGGATATTAACAAATAGCTTGAGTTGTAAGTGAAAGTAAAGGATATTATAATTTCATTTCTATCTTTAATTTAATGGATTAATAATGGTATTACAATATTTCATCACGTTATTTACCATATTTAATTTTATAATATATTTTATATATAATTATTTCACACCGTTTTATTTCATTTCATGAATTTTCATTATTTAGGTGAAAAACGCAGCTTGGATCAAAAAACTGCAGGCACAAATACAGGTATATTTAATATTTGTTCTGATATATTTATTCTTATATTCTTTATACAGATTTTGGATACATTTATGTAATAGGAAATGAGCAAAATCCAATAGGAGACTCAATAAACATGCATCCTGGAGGTGGACCACCTTTGCCTCCTTCACTTCCACCACAGGCCCCGTGGCAAACACACCATGTTAGAGTTCCATGGGGCAGGCCACCGCCAATGCCAAGAGATGGAGAACATCAAGGAGTGTGTCCTACATTACCTCCAACAAATATGCCACCACCACAAATTAGACCCAGAGGTATTCACAACGAATAACGATATTGTCGATAATTGTATAGTTGTAAATGTTTGTAAATAAAATCTACATGATTACGACTTGATTTTAATATGGAACACATCGTATTATCTCTAATAAATTAATAAATTAAATTTAAGAAAAGTTTTTAAAACTGTATGGTTGGATTGGTGTGGTTTTCGAATTATTCAAAATAATAATTTGTCAAAATAATCATTGGTGTATGAAATAATGATTAAATATTTTCGTAATTATTCAGGACACATTGAAGGTAATCGTTCGCCTGTACAAAATGCGATATTGGAGCATCCGTTGAATGTCGAGTATAATCAAATGCCACCGTATACAACAAAACCTCCCCCTTACAATTCACACCCATTGATGCAATCCATTTGCAATCCACCGCCACCACCACCGCCGCATCATCAGCAGAGACCGCAGCATCCTCCTCAAAACGTGCAGCATTATCAGGTGCCAATTTCTCAGACATATCAACCACCGACTTCCTGTCCACCGTGGATGAATTAAATTATGATACAATACGAATAACGTAATTTATCTTAAAGATAGCTGATGCAGTCCGTCCGATTTCACACCGTTCAATCAATAACGAATTTACACGAATGTAACTGAGTCTGAAAAGCATAACGAACGCAAATGGATGGTATTGCATTATGTTATCTTCATCGAATTGTTCCTTGTGATAGTTGATTATAATTTAACTATTCGTTGTGAATGTGTCGCTGCAAAGATGCTGTTGTGTAAAAAAAAAAAAAGAAAGAAAAATGTGTATATGTTACAAATTATTTATAGTGAGACATTCACTATAAATAAAGCTTAGTTAGCGAATGATAGTAACTAATTTATAAATGCCACGTTATGAGCGGACAATTCACACATTCAGTGAGATAAAGAATTCGATCAATGATACCTAATTATGTAACGCAGAGATAATGTGAATCACAATTTGCGAGGAAGAGTAATCATTGCGGATGCTTAATAAGAAATGATTTTCATTAGTTTCAAGAAATGCTTTTAGTATTCACGCACACACATAATCACATGAGAATTTAGAGATATAATTTTTTGTATTCATAGTACGTAATTACATAATTAGAACTGTTTTGAACTTGTCATGTAGATGTCTGTTTCTTCTTTCGTTGTCGGCACACTTTACACGTATATCTATTTACGAGTTCGTATACAATACATGAATAAATTGTTACCTCTAATCTCACGAGATGTTGATATTAAAATCGCGTGGAAGTTTGCCGTGATTCTCATACATGATTTGTGAAAAATTGTAAATTAATTTACCGCTATAGTACAATATCTTTGATTTAAAGATTAAGTAAATATAGGGTCAGGATCAACTGTCACTATGATTTTTCATCAAGAGATGATTCTTGATGCAGTATATTTTATTATTATAAGCGAAAAGCTTCAAGCCCGAATGGGTTAAGTTATTGTTTTTATGATTTAATTATAGAAATATATTTTCCGATGGAACATCATTTTTTGAATAAATTAATTTAATCTTGGATTCTTTTGGATATTCTTTTTTGTCTCAATACGCGTATAACCAGTATATTAACATCCGATACTGCAGTTTTCGAAGCGCTTCTAGTAATTTATTTAGAAGGAAGCATATTCCTTTGTAGCTTTTATTGCAATTTATTGCCAAATGGGGTAGTATATTGAGCTCTTGATTGCGCAATTGCGCATTATCCTTTATATCAGTTGCTGCACCAACTGACAACTGCTTCTATCTACAATGAATGATCATACCAATGGGAATTGTAGTCTCTATAAGATTCTCTTGGTATATTGACTCATGGGCATGATAAGTTGAGGATTTGCTGTGATATAATTTATGGAAACGACTTGGAACAAACGATTTATACATTAGGCTAGCTTGGAACATTCACAAGAAATAAAGTAGTTGACCCTATATATGGTAAATGGCTACTACGGGATGGCTGTTATTATTTTAAATTAACAACTGTCTTTATTTTGTTATTTTAAATTACAATTGTTTCTATCTTGTTATAGATACTGATACAATCAAGTTACATGTCAACGAATGATATTAGGTCTTTAATTCTTTTTTAAATCGCTGACAGAGTTTAATTAATTTTCAGATATTTTCCAGATATTTCAGCATTATTAATTAAAATTCTAATAACGAGAAACTTTGTTAATTATCGATCACGAGATTCGTTCTTATTACGCTCGCCTATTTCTAATATATTTTCAAGGTAAGTATTGCGGTTTAATAAAATTAGCTGTGAGATTTTCCTTAAGAGTGGAAACGTGGATATCAGGGAGAAATCTAATTTTCCTTTGTTATGATCTCTACTTTAATACTTAAGTTAATGATTATCCGATATCACGTATAATAAAAGCTTCGAATTAACAGATTTGTTTTACGATTATACATTGTAATGAGACATGAAGTTAACAAGATTTCACTGCTCAATTCGCATCGGTGGATGTTGTTGAAACAGACTTGTTTTTGCTACCAATTGGCTATCATTCTAATTAAAGTCGTTGAACGCTTTAACATGATACGTGCGGTGATCGAATATTGGCCTACGTTTTCATACTGCGCGAAATTCTGTTTAATACAAATCCAATGAAGCCGTACGCTACCGGAATTGTCTACCATTATACCGAGGCGAACTGTGCACTAAAGACTGTAATAGAATCGGATATTGTAAAATCGTGCCGGCACCCCAGGCAATTAACAGGAAACTCTTAGATTTCGTAGGAATACTGTACATTTCAAATCTGCAGGCTGCTTCAAAATGCCCGAGCATTATCTTAATAGAAAAATTTTAATACGACAATTCTAGTTTCAAGAATAAAATATCGAAGAAACGGAAGGGATTAAATTTATAAGAAAGACGACTGTCGTTGGTTATTATTTGTCAGTTGCACTGGTTTTTCGGATTGTTCGCATCGATGGGAGAATCGAATTCGACTGTACGCAAATTACTCGTGAAATAGCGCGACTCACTTCAACGTCAATTATCGTCTTTCCCCCATAGTAAACTTAACCAATTACTCCGAATGACAAATTGGATCTTTTTTAAATTCGAGAAATATTCGAATCGGTTCACGTGTAAGACCAGTTTCTTTTTGAACGATGTCCCAGATTTGTCCGTCATCCTCGCATCAATTGGTCGCCGCCGCGATGGCATTTCGTCGAGCTCGACGTAAATTCCCGAAAAATTTTGGCCTGTACAGCAACGCGGAGGAAACAGCAAAATTCGATAACGTAATTATATGCTAAAATCCTTCTCACTGTTCCTGTCTGTTTTATATTTTATACATCAGATTAGGTTATAGAAACGTATTCTTTTATTTATCATTCAATGGTCCGATCTTAGGAACTCGGCCAGATATCTCGGGCTGCTTAATTTAGATTCACGAGTTTTGAAGCTCTTCTCAGTAACCTTTCCCTACTAAAATGATTTTCCTTTGACAATATGCTGGAAAATCAGATGGAAAACGTCAGCGGAAACGAGGAAGCAAACGATCAAGAGAACTTGCCGTTTCCACCGAGAAATTGTTCAAACGCAAGGTCGAGTCGCACGGAAGGAAAGACATTTTGGAACGACGAGTGCGGCGAGAGTGGCTCGATCAAGGGGAACTTACTCCAGAAACCGATAATCTGCAATTGTTGTCGTAAACGTAACGATCAATGCAACGCTGGAGATGCGCTCGACATCGTTCCAAGCAAAGAGCACAATGGCATCACGCAGAAAAGCGAATTCTTTAAATCGGAGAAAGCTGAAAGGTATTGCGCGTTTCGCACAGATTGGGAATCGATCAACTGCGAACGTTTTAATTCGAAGAACGATATTTTCGGACAAGTATCAGAGATTATTGCAGCAAATTTTCGGGAAACGTTTAATTATATCAAATGTATTAAATTGTAATTTAATTTGAATAGTTGATTTTGTTACGTGCCAGTAGAGGAGATACTCTGAATTAAATTATAGAATTACAGCTCGAATTGCACAGCCCCGAATTATTCATGATTTAGATTATTCAGAGAGAAAAGTAGTATCGTATTAAATTAATCGCAATATCATTTTATATCGGGGTAAAGTCTTTAAGTTCAAACAATTTTCGCAATATTAAAAATACATTGCACTTTTTTTTTTGCAGTAGAGCTTTACGAAGTGACTGAAATTTCTAATTTTTTTTTTTTTTTCATTTTTTCAAATCATCGCACTGTTAATTTTGCTGTAGCTACATCGAAAAGCGTGAAGAACCAACACGCACTTGTTTCCGGTTTCTTTTTGTAGCTGTAACGCGAAAGGGATGAGAAGTTTCATAACGGAACCTCGGAATTCTAATCGCGGTTCATGTTACTGTTCCCGAAGGCGAAGCCCGAGAGAAACTTCCAAATTGGATTCGGTTAATCTTCTGTATGGCTGCGATCAGAATGAAGTGGACAACGTTAAAAGTAGCGACTCGTCCGAGAAGCGAAGTAGGTCGAAGTTCTTCGCGTTTCTACTACGAATTCGCGGTTATTGCGAGTTGTCGCGAGTTATGCCTCGACAATTCTATTTCGTTTAAGATTGCAATAGCTCCGTGCACGACTGCAATGTCGAAAGAAGAGGACACAAATCATTCCACCGAAATTCGCGGTGCACGTTCGCCTCGCAGAAGGATAACCATCCATCGTCGTCTAGTATTTCGCGAGCCTGTCACATCCACTGTGCCAAACATTCGACTCTTGATCTTCTACAACCTCATCGAGATTGCTGTCGTCAGAATCGTCATTATTGCTGCCACTCTCACGATCATTGCCATCATTGTTGTGACAACGAGTACAGCAAGTTAATAGAATTAAATTTACAAGAGAGGAAGGGGAATCTACGGAATTGCCACGTGGACTAATTTCTTTTATTAAAATTTCCCCCCTAATAGCTGCTCATCAAAGGAAAAACGTCTCGCGTCAGACACGTGCCTCTGCTTCTCAAACACCGCGAACAATCGCAGGAATTGCTGCCACAAGGAACACACCACGCGCGAGTCCGTCTGCAATCACAATTGTTGCGCGAAGGATTCAGAAAAGATTTCGACGGTGCAGGAACAGAACGACGAGGAACTGGACGATTCCGTGGTCTCGATCAATCACAAGGACTCTTTGTGCATTTTGGTGGAAAAGTACAAGACCAACAAGAAGTGCAAGCACAAGGCTCTCGACGCCTCTGAATTCCCGTGCGAACGAACTAAAGACGAATGCGATAAATCGTTCACCTCGGAAACCAGTTGTCAACTGGATGAAACCGTGAAACAGGGAGACAAATATTCGAGCGGCAGTAAATGCCGTTTCCGGGACAATCGTCGTGTGTCGATAGGGAAAACGTGCAGACACGGCTGCGGCCCGATCTTCAGGGAAGAAGAGTGCAATCAATTCAAAAACCTGAAGTCTCGTTTAATAAAGACTGGTACTTGTTGTTCAGCGAAAGGCACACCGTGGAGACACACGTTTTAAAATTAAAGGCTTCAAGCTTCACTATTTCATACCAAGTTTTCGTATTTATATCATTCAGTTCACACGTTCGTTGGCTATTCTATTTATTTTTTTTTAGCACGTGATAGCCGGCTGCTATGAATATATTTGTATCGCTGTTTATTGGTTATTATTTTTTACCAAGAAATTCGAGAAGATATAAAAATAGCATACATGCTTATTTTATCTTCATCCTCGGGAAAACACTTTATGTATGTAAAAAAATTTTCATTAAAGCTATAAAGTTTTTAGGAAACGGATTTCCCTTATAATTTTCACCGCACGCAAAAGAGAGTAAAAAAAATTTTGGGCAGAACTTCAATCTTAAGGCTCATGGAGCGCCGTCGCTACTCCGGACGTTTATTTTTTAAAGTATATTACGCTAATAAAGTTAATAAACTTATTTTGGAAGTATATTGCTTTAATAAAGTTAATAAACGAGCGCATTTATATCATTCTGCTACAACGTGCGCTGTACCGCCAGCCTCTTGGGCATCATTTGGCTTCTCTTCTGTCTCTTTTTCTCCTCTTCCGCCATCCCTGCTTTTTGTTCCTTTTCTAATACTTCTACTCTTCTTCTTTCTGCTCTTCCTCCGTCCCTCTTTCTTCCTCTAATTTTTCATCTTTCTTCTCCTTTTCTTCTAATTTCTCGTCTTCCTGTT